AGGTCATGGCCCCCATGAGGTTCCGTCCCTGATTAGTTTGAATGAGATATTTATTAACGTTTAAATATATACCATATATAAGGAATCCAACATTGTATATTATAAATTAGAAATATTATTCGTTACCGATTATTTAAGAGTTGTAGGGGAGACAGTTACACGTGACTTGAAAAAGAAAAAACAAGAACATTAGATAACGTGTTGTATTGAAGTGCATGATAGGGTCGGTTGTCATGGTATCGTGAAGGTCCCCGTAAGATCTTGTTGTAAAAACACGATGGGTATTCTTGATCGTTTATATCGCAAGAGTAAATAAGGGGACTACACATGTTGCAATTTTTATCATAAAATGAAGGTTGGACAGGACGTTGAAATTGGCTGTAGGACCACGAAAAAACGAGTCATGTCAGGTAGTGACTTCATTTAGGATAGGTTTGACAAAATAGCTGATAAAGTAATTGTTAGCTGAAAATTGGTTGTTTACTGAAGAACCAGTTGATAAACTAATTATGTTTCGTAAAAACTAGCTAATAATCTATATGATAAATGTAAAATGAGCGGTACTATTAAACGATTTTCCATCTATATGAGTTTAATAGACATTTATTTTGTTTTTTTAATAATATTTGCCAAATTATTACGAATTTCTCACATCTCATGGCATAAACCTCAAACAAATGTTAGGGAACAGTCTAAAACCATCAATTACTCAACTAAATATAAATTTAGGAAATTTGTCGTATTGATGTATTATTTTGAATAATTGTTACACATTATATTAATAAAAACTAAATCATTGTTTGACAAATATAAGCTAACTTAATTTTTGAGTACATGTTTGGATGAACATAAGTTGACTTATAAGTTAATTTATTGAAAAGCTAGTTGGGACTTGGGAGTAGCTTATGAGGTTTTTTTTGCCACATTTTTCGGTTATACCCTTGATTAATATTAGTTGTTATTAATTAATATTAATTTTATTTTATTAATTAATTAATTTAATCATTAGTTAACTTACATATTAATTAATATGAATTTCAATTTAGTAATTAATTTTAATTATTA